TTTTTCTTAAATTTAGTTATTTTGTAACAAACCAAAAAAACAAGGAAGTTTTCTTTTAAAGATTGAATAAAAAATTATTTTCCATAAGATGGCTGAAAAATATCAATAAATTGTCAATAATAAACTATTATTCAGAGATTTTCCAAGCTACACTGGGTATCCCCAGTAGTTGTCCAATAAAGTTAATGTTAAAAAAAAATGTCATCTTTGTTTAATAGAACAGGGCAAATGTTTGGGTTAACCTAATATTAAGATTTGGAGTCTCATCCTGATACTGTCATTATGTCCAAACTAGCCATGGATTTTCTTGATTTAATTGGTCAAAGCATCATTTATGAAAAGATGTGCTGCTAAATATTTATGATTTGTCAGAAGCTACTTCTTCAGTCCTTTTTTTTTTAAGTTGGTACATTATTGCACACGTTTGTTTCATCTTGATTATAGTTATAATACATTCCTTACTCTTTATGCTACTTTAGTAGTGGTTGCATGTATTTAACCTGGAAAATTGATATAAAGCAACTATGAGATGCAGAAAAATAGACAAATCAATAATAAAATACTTAATTTCAGAAGTCAAATAAGATTGCTGTATTTTCTTTATTTACAGCATAAAGAAGGCACAAATTTGAGTTGCACTCTATTAATAAAACATTCTAAAAGCGATATTAGATTTTCATTTGTTTTGTTTAATGTGTAATTACTATGTTTAAATGGAATAGAGCAAATGAAATTAATCAAACTGAAAATCTAAGAAATCAGTTTAACTTGAGCAGTGCAATTTTGTAACAACTTAATTTACAGAAATTGAAAAAAAAAAAAACAGTTTCCTGATGAATAAATCTTAATTTTTAAATAAAAAAGCTTGTCTATTTTTTTATCCGTTAATTGATATGCACAATCTATAATGGATATTTTAATTTTTTTTTTCCTATAATATAGGGTTTATCTGAAAATTTACACATGCAACTATCTGGCAACTAATAGATTTTTTTTTTTTAATCAAATTCACTCCATGCAAGACAGTAAAGCCACTAAGATACAGGGGGTTACTGAGTGTGAAAGAATTAGTAAATAGAAACCTTATTAATGAGCAAGAACAATAGAAGAGTAATCAGGAAGACAGTAGATAACGACTGACATTGCATTTAAATTTTTTTAAATCAAAGCTAGCTGAAAAGCATGGTGCCAGAAGAGTGTTCCACAAGCGAGAAGTGTGAGAAATAAACTTATGGTTACATTTTGCCAATTCAAGTGTTAATTGATGAGACCTTATTGCTAATCTAATTCTGCACTTTAATTCATAAAGTCTAGGCACTATAGTGAAGAGCTCATCCAAACAATTACCATCAAAGTATTTATAGAAAAGGCACAGGGAAGCAACTTTATGGCAGTGGGAAAGTAACTGAAACTAAGATTCTAAGTTAGGACCAATAATATTGCTGATTCTTCTTTAGATTTTATCAAGAATCTCTAAATATATGTCAGAAGAACTGGGCCATATGTGGTAGCAATATTCCAAGTATGGATGAATGGTAGGCTTATAGATATGTCAAATAGATTCTGAAAAGAAAGATTATCTAGCACAACACAGTGAACCAACTTTCTTAGCATGCAAGACCTAGCAATGGATTCAATAGTCTTTTCAACTTCTTGTCAGCCGAGAATGTTAGCCTAAGAAGTAAGAATTTACTTTGAATTTAAAAAAATTATTGTCTAGCATAAAGTTAAAACTTATACATATGTGTGTGATAGAGGAAAGGGTATGTATGTATATGTTTGGGGGTATGTGTATATATATATATATATATATATATATATATATATATATATATACTATTGTCAAATGATTGGTGACTAAACTGGCACTCCAACTTCAATTACTTGTGGGAGAAGGAGGTTGTTAGCAATGCTGTAGGATGAAAAATAAATCCTGTCAAAGGTTGGAAAAACTCTTGACAAGTCAACAGCCAGCTAACTAGAAGCAATCATGGAGGAGGCAATGGAAAATCACTTCATTATCAATCACAAGAGAACAAGGCTTTTAACAATCAAATTATAAAAGATAATGGCATGAAAAAGGTTAAGTCTATTGGCATTGACTCCTTGACTGATAAGGAGTACATGTGCAGCTGTCATGCAGTGACTTTTAGGTAAACATATATATATGTGTAGCAGAGGAGGGGGAGTCAAACTACTTGGAATTGATCCCTTGTCTTGTAAGGGATGACATGAGTGACAAGTATCACCAGATCATCATCAAAAAAAAAAATTCTTAATGTAATGTCAGAACACTAAATCTATGGGGCCATTTAGAAAATATAAAGTAGAAAATTAAAGTTAGGAAAGTTAATATTTTGACTATGTGAAACAGGGTGGACAAACAAATGGAGATTTCATCAGTAAGAAACAGAAACATATATGCAGGCAGAGAGAAAAATGAGAGGAAAGCATGACTGATACACATGAAGATACATGAAGAAATGTGTTTTGGGATACTATCAACAATCTGAGAGAATTCTTGTAGTTAAACTAAAAGGAAAGCCTTTCAGCATATCCCTCATAGCTGTATATGTATAAATTGACAAGTTTAACTGTAAGCCAGAAAATGCTTAGACTTAATGCAAATCACAAGAAATTACAATCATCATGGGAGACCTGAATGTTACAATTAAGCAAGGTGAGAGATGATGAAATAGTTGGCAAATTCAGATTAAGAATTTGTAATGAATTTGGGGAAAAATGGGTCCAGTGATGCACAGTGAATTATCAGGTAGTAGCCAACACCTGATTTCAAGAACATCCAAGATGTATATGGATGTGAAGAAGCTCAGGATAAGAAACAAAAAATCAAATTGACTATATAGCTATCAATAAGAGATTCAGGAATGCAGCTTTACACTGCAGGAGCAACCACTCTCCACTAGCATGTAAACTTAGAGTGAAACTATAGAAATTGAAAAGGGCCAAGGCAGCACCTGATTTGCAATATGACTAACTCCTGAATACCCCAAATGTGAAGGAGAAATATATGGATTGTTAAAAGCAGATAAAATGAGAATGAGAACTCAGTCAGACACATTATGAGAAGCTTTAGAATTGAGATCATCCCAACAAAAGACAAAGAATAAATGGAATTGATGACAGATGAAATCCTTGACATGATGAAAAGGAAGCAAAGAAACAATGCCAAGACACAGAACAGAATATAGGACACTACACAAATTAATCAGGAATAAATGCAGGTGGGCTAAAGAGGAATAGCTCAACAAAATATATGCAGCAATTGAATGAGTGTCACAGATAAAGCAGATACACATAAAAAATTTGAGAACTAACTAGACAAAAGAGATGCTTATCCACAGGATGCATAAAATCCAAGCACATCCTTGAATCTGACACTCTTTTGTAACTGGGCTGTTGCCGCACCGTTTGATAAATTATGTTACAAAAAAAATTATGTTACAAAGAACTGTTGGAACTGCTAAGTAACCTTGACATATTTCGGAAAGATAGAATAATCCAGAACCTATACTGGCAGAAAACTGCATGCATATGGATAAAAAATGAATTCAATAAATATACAAAATTAGAAATGGGTGTAAGACATGTGTCTTCTCACTGTACTCATTCAATCTATACAGTGAGGCAATTCTGAGAGAATTATGTTCTACTTAATTCTCTCTATTCATTATTAGGGTGGGGAGCACAATCTTAACATAAGATATGCAAATGAGGCAGTGCTGATAGCAGACTCAGTATGCAATGTAGAATCTTAATTTATTGAAAGAGCAATTTTCCGGTAGTTTGAACCTACCAATCTGTAGTGACAATTCCTCGCTGAAATACAAATTGTGATCATTGGTGAATTTACTGTTTATTTTGTATTTTATTATATATATATATATATATATATATATATATATATATGGAACTTTTTAACTGCCATTACATATTTAAATGTTCTTAATGGATATTAGTGTGCTAAATATTTTAAATTTGCTGTTTACAATCAGTGTTTGTTTTGTGAAGTATCAATATGATTCAATAGATTTATCTGACCCTTCAACTGATGAGTATTTTTACATGAAACTTTGGAGCTGGTCAATGACAAGTCCTTCAAACATTTTCTAATTGATAAGTAGACTATTTCTTTAGATGTAGTGATGTTTTTTGCTTGATATTATTTCTGTTTGATTTGTTTTTAAAGAATTTCTTTCTCAGTTCCTTTGGTTAAATTTATTTTGTTGCTTTTATTTTTTGTGACATAAAAGGCTATCCCTTATGATAATTTGATATAAATCATTGCTTAAAAACTGTATTATTTAATTTACATATTCTAAGTGCTACTCAGACATGCCGTTTTTTGTTACATTCTCTGTTAGTTTCAGTTAAATTTAGCTGTAAACAAGTTTTCCAAACATGTCAATTTTTTGTACTTTTTGCTAGACATCCTGACATCTTCCTGTTGCATATATGTTGCTTATTTTATAGATTTTCATAAATATATATTTTATATATAAGAACATTAATTTTTGTTATATATTTTATATATGTTTTTATCGTATATATATTATTTCACTGGTTAGTTTATTATTTTATTGAATTATATGTATTTTATATATTCTTATATTATTAATGGTATGTATATTATATCTAGTAGTGGTTATCTATTTCTTTTAGATCATATACCCTATTCATCATATTGCTGAATCTCAGTTCTTTTGAAAGATTTGAATTAAAGGGTGCATTATAAAATTGTAATTTATTGAAAGATCAATGTTCCAATAATTTGAACTTGCCAATCTGTGATGTCAATTCTTCACTGAAACCCTAACACTGACCTTAGTGACAGGGAGGAAATTCTTGTTTGAGAGCCACTGATTCATAGTATACATTTTGTTTATTATATTAAAATATATATTACAAAAATTAGACTATGTATTTTTTAATATTATTTTGTGGTTACTTATTTTATGTTATTTTTTCTTTGTTTTCAGTTTTAATTCTGCAAAAGCTGCTCCTCTCATATTTGCTGACCAGTATATTCAAATTGGAACTGTATTGGCATCCAAATATCTATATGGATTGGGAGAACATCAAGACAAGTTTCTTATTGATATCAACTGGACATCTCGTGGCTTCTGGGCAAGAGACCAGGCACCCAGGGTAAGTCATAATGGTAGCCAAAGAAGCAATAGCAACAAATGGTTGTTCATTATATCTCATGATGAATTCATGCATCTTGTATGTGTAAATTTATTTTGAAATGTCACAATTTTTATGACAGTGATATAGATAAATATATTATCAATATCTCTATGTTATAAGAATTGTGGCATATAACCTTTTGAAAATAGTATTTGTTATTGTAGAGTATTTTTCTTAGCTCATTTCTCATAATTGTATATTTTAATCTTGTTTCATTGATCTCTACATCTGTAGGTAAAAAATATGAATCCATTGTTTTATTTTCATGTATTATACAAGTATTGATATAACATTTAGAGAAAGAGCTATGTCAAAAAATACCATTTTTCTCATTTTAAATTTCATCTTCTGACAATTCCCCTTTTATTAAACACTTTGATCTCAGTATTGTATATGAACAATAAAATACAGAAAGCTGCAGACGTAGCACATAGTTATAAATGGTTTTAAAATCTGGATGTATAAGTTATCAATTAGTATGGTGAGTATAGCAAGTTTATTATTCAAAATATCAATAAATTAGGAAACATTTTCATTTTGCAGGAAGCCTCATTTTATCATAAAACGCTAAATACTGGTGTAACATATCTAGAATTTCTCTCATGAAAAAGTTTTGTCATGTATTTGTTTAGCAGGAAGTAAGTTTACATTGTTAATTATTCTAGCTATATAAAAATGATTGCTTTGAGAATACAAGTAACAAAATATTCCTGTTGCATATAATGCAACCCTTTTTCCAGTTTTATCTTTTGATTTTGATATAAAATTTCTCATGAACAAATATAACAATCAAAAGTTCACTTTATATTATACAGTCAAATAACTAATACTAGAATTAGATATTCCAAACTAAAATTTTATTTTGAATATATCTAAAAACCTTTAATACACTCAGATCTTGACAGACCATATACCAGTGACTTGGTCAGTGTAAAAGTTGGGGTCATAATATATTGCAACCCATTGGCTTTGGCGCTTTGGCACTCATAACTGGAGGTCCCTTAAAGTGGTGGTTATTCATCACAACTGCTAGAATTGTTTAAATAGGTGGTAAATTTTGCAATTTATCATGATAGTTGTGGAGGATAAAAAATACCATATGAGAAGTATACTTAAGGCAGTAATTATCTGGGATTTATTTTTGTTTTTTTCCTTTTCTTTGCAAATTGTGTACAGGGCACACTCATTTTTGAGGTAGGTGGTTTTTCCCTGTTCACCACACTCCCCTCATCACACAGGTGACAACTAGAGGCAGGCCTCTTGAGTCACTGGAAAAATTACTGTCTCTCCTTCAGATGAGTCACCTTACAGGGAGTCATCAGGTACATATTTACCAGGCTCTGTGTCACTTGCTCCAGAAGATGTATCTGAGGCATAGCCAAATGTTATCTCACTTTCTGAGAGGGTTGCTGCTGGTATCATTTGCTGACATGTTTGGACCAACAAAAGGGAACAGATCTTTTACATGGCACAGCATTTCATCAATGAGAATAGAATGCAGGCCACTTATCCCAGTGACATATCTTACTAGTTATAGAGTTTTATATTGGTTTTGTGGGGGTTTTATTCATACATGTTCCCCTAAGTTATATGTCAGTTCTGGTAGAGGTGTTGTGTCAATGCCTTGTACATGGATCCAGTAGTGGTAGATCCCACTGATGGGTGCAGTGGAGTGACATTGTACCAAAAAAACAGCCTCCATTATCAAGCATTGTTTCCATGCAGCAATTTGTTTGATGCTGCAATGACATTGTTAAACTATTCTGTGTCAAAAGTGGACATATGCATGACAAAAGTGGATGTAGACACCTCTCCACTCACACTATTCCAATAACTCCTTGAACAGTTTACTGTAGAATATGGTGTCATTGTTGGTGAGTATTTCAGCAGGAGGGCCCCTGTCTGTCATGTCCAGCCCCACCCAAATCCACACATCACTAACATCCAATTTCCTCCTTGGTCATCATGCTGGTGATGGTTCAGTTGACTGACATTTCTGGCATTCCCTGACTACTGTCTTAACTGCTGCTTTCAAAACTGCAGGATCAATCCACCTTGCAAAGAGTTTGTCTGATGCTGGGGTATCCACTCTGTCAATGTACAGACCTTATCTGGTTGGAGCCACATTTGCTCACCGATGTTGCACAGATAAGTTTCATGGGTTCTCTCATTCCTTATTGTGTTAAGCCATCTTTGTGGCACTCTTGTCAGCTAGGCTGCTCGATTCTGTTTAGATTTGACCAATATTATGCTTACCCATTGGCCTACTTTTCTACATTGCTGAGCCTCCTCTGAATGAGCATCTCTCTCAATGGCTTTGTATGTAACCTAGCTATTCCTGTGAGAGTGTCTGATATCTACCCCTGAATGCTGTATATCTGTGAATTAGTGCAGTTCTGTTGCCTTTCATTGAAGTGCTCCATTGATACTCTTATGGGGTCCAACTGTATGTGATTAGACCTCTTGGGGAACAAAGTTCTTTGGAGTAAAGTATTAGCCACCCATTTTCAGCCATGTTTGTAGTTTGCATCTTAATGACCAAAACACTGACTTGTACTGGGTTATCATCATCTACACAAAGTCTGATGCTCGCAACTCCTTAGCTTCTGAGAATCTTTCCGTCAGTCATCAGCACAACCATTTCTTGTTTGCTCCATGGACAACAGACTGATATGTTGGTATGAGATTGACAGCAACCTGTGTCCACTAGGGCAGTGCATTTTATCCCATCAACGCATACAGTAATTAAAGGGAGCACACCTCTTTCATTACTTTTGGCGGAGTGAGATGTTGTCCCATTTTCTTGTCATTTAGATACAGTGTGTCTGACTTTGTGGCATTGAATGCATCAAATATCATGACATTTGTGCAGAACTGCCTCGCATCTTTATACTGACAATCTGTGGCAAAATGATTAGGCCTATGACATTTGTAGCAGGTGATATTGCCATGACGATTAATAGCTAGAGTTGGATTATCATGAGTTTCTGCTGGTTGAGTGGCTGCACTGACTGTCTCCTCAGATTTTTTTTTTCATCCATCATAATGGCATGGACCTTGTTTAGTAGTCTGCTCAAGGTCATGTCATCCATTCTGGATGATGCCTGAAGTGCCTGCCTGATGTATTTTAAATCCAATCTCACAAATCAAAAAGAAATAGTATAGTTAAAAATCAGAATCAAAAGTACAAGAGGCAAAATAAAAAAAAATGTTCAAAAATAAATCCAACTTATAGAGCCTCATACAGCTCTCATATGAACTCATTGTTGTCAAGTAAAAACAAATAATTTTACAATTGTCCATGATAGTCAGGGAGGTTAAAAAAATTATCATATATTAAGGCAATAATTATCATATATTAAGGCAATAATTATCTAGGATTTGTTTTTCTTTGGCAAACTGTGACAGGGCACAAACTCTTTTTTGAGGGAGGTGATTTTCCTGTTTACTACAAATATCTATTTTTAAAAGATGTACTTGTAATTTTTCATTATATTTCTGAAATTCTTAAAATATATCTTCATTTACTAGAAAAGTCCCTTATGACAAACAGCAATTGGAGAATTGCTCTTTGTCAAAAGGGACTTTTCTAGTAAATGAAGATATATTTTAAGAATTAGAAAATGGAAAGTTTATATAATTTTTGAGTGTTAATATTAGAAGGCATGAATAAATGTTATTTATAACTGCATGAATAAATGTTATTTTCACTGTTTTAAGCAAAAAGTAAATTTTTTTTTTTCACAAAATTCAGTCAGCTATTCCTAATTTTATTAATTTACTTTGAAACAAAAGACATACTGGATTTTTAAAAGATTTTAAATTTTTTTTAGATTTGTCATCAAGAATGGAGGTTTGTGAGTGATTCTGGTAGTGCCTTAAAACATCTTAAAAAGTGAATACCATATTTATATACATAAATTTTTTTTTCTATTACAAATTAGCTAAAGCTAATTTCTAAAACTGTTATCTTTCAAATAAAAACAAAATTTAACTTTCAGGGAGACATTTAAATTATTCACAATGTGTTTTAAAGTTTTCTTCCGTAAGTTATACTATTATAATTTATAATTCAAAATTTTATTTTAATCTTTCATGGACAAACAAGAATGAGTAAAATTCAATGAACTAAAAATATACAAAATTTATTTTTTATTTTATTACTTCAGTTAATTATTTAAAGAAATTAAGAAGAATAACTGAGGCAATAACAATTTTAGCTGACAGTTTGGACAAAAAAAGTAGTTTTATTTTGTATAAACTGTCAGTATGGAATTTAAAAAGTTGTCTGTTGGTGTATTTTGTATGTGTGCATGTTCCCATGTAAATAATTAAGGAAGAAGCATTTAAAAACTTGGGTTTCTACTATGGACTGTTTTTAGGGTGACTGTAGTGAAATAAAGTTTTTAATGTCTCTTAGGTATGTCCATTTTCTTTTTGAGCCAGAAGTTATTGTAAGTATAAACATTGTATTAATGATTGAGAATTAGAAAATGTAAAGTTTATATCATTTTTGAGTGTTAGAAGGCTACTATGCATAAATAAATGTTATTTTCACTGTTTTAAGCAAAAAGTATATATTATTTTTTTTTACAAAATTCAGTCAGTTATTCTTAATTTTGTTAATTTACTTTGAAACAAAAGACATACTGGATTTTTAAGAGATTTAAAAATTTTTTTTAGATTTGTCAGCCTTGTGCAGAGTTGAAACAACTAAAGAAAAGCTTGTATTTACTTTATTGTTGGAAGGTTTAAGAATGGTTTTGGTATATCTGTTTTCTTTTTCTTAGTAAGGATAGATATTTTTATAATGGTTAATCTCAAGTCAGCCTTGTGCTGAGTTGGAATAACCAGAAAAAAAGCTTGAACTTTATAGGTGGGAGTTTTTGGAAACATGTGCAAATACCCTGCATTAGAAAATGGGAAAACAGTTCAGTCATCAGTGGACCAGGAAACTA